GCGAACAGAGTCTGGCCGCGCTCGTGTTCGGCTCGTTTACACCCCTACTTAGTGTTAAGTGAAAGACATAGATAATTAATATTACACTCATCTCAAAGCACAATCAAAATATTTGGAACTCATTTTAATCACTTTTTGGACATCATGGTAAAATTTGTCAACTATATATATGTACAAAAATTATATATATATTTAAGGTGGAGGGCACCCTTTTTATTTCATAAGTATGGGAGTAATGTGGCTTTATAGAACGCTAAAAAATGATTGTTTCTTTATAGCAATTATAGGACATGGTGCACATGTCTAGACATCAAAGTATAATAGCTCGAGCAGATGCAAGCTATTAAGCGAATAAGAGATGAGAAAATGACTTGTTGGTTTTCTTGTAATGAGAGGAATGGCACATATGTTTTGATGAATTCGAATATAATAAAGGTAAGTTGTGGCAAGGGACTATGTGACATAAGATATTGGTAGATGGATGACCCATGTGATGATGTCTTTAATTGATTAAGGCTTTTGTAAGAAAAATTGCAATCATAATAGGCATTATGATATGATTGGGTTTACTCATAGATAATATATTTAGATGGACCCATCACTAGTATTATCCTTACACATACATATTTCATAATGAAAGTGTGCTAAAAATGAAATAGAGATATTATCATTGGAGAAAAATTTAAGATAAAAATTAGATTTTCATAGAGGGAACACATATGACAGTGTTTAAAGTATGTAGAGAAAGAGAATGGAGGTGTATTACTAGTATGAGTAATTGGAATTCATGCATTGTCACTAATGTGATTATTTTTAGGAATAGATTGCTCAAAAAGAGAGATTTTAATGATCTATTATAACATAATGGGAAGTGCTATAATCTAGAGTTTACAAAGCTTTAGAGGGTGTTGTAAGATATGTGTGTGTTATAATGATATGGGCTTAAGGAGAATGATGCAAGTATTATGATGTGGTTGTAAAGTTGTATGTTAAGAGGCGGAGTTGGGGCATTTTTGTGTTGATTGACTCTATTGTCCTGCAGAGTTAGCATTTGCCAATATGTGGGCTAGGTTAATAATTCTAATTTTAGTAGAAAAAACTTTGGTGTGTTTTAGTTTTTAATTTTTTTTTTTTTTTTTTTTTTTTGTAACTTTGTAAATTTTTGGTGGAGTAGTTGATGGACTATTTAATTGGGTTGGTATTTTGCTTTTTTTTTTAGCTTTAACTTTAACATAAGTCTCAAAACTTATGAGGTTTTAATGTAATTCCTTAGAGATGTGGGGGGTTCGCATGAGAAATACAAGGCCAACCAAAAGCTTTTTGTATACTTCAACAATACTTTCAGTCATTTTTAGCATGTGATCATATATTGATCAATTAGTGCCTAAGCTTAATCTAATTCATCAATAATATTTTTTACACATTACATGCACTCTATGATTACTTGCATTTTGCTGGTAAGAAGTGAAAGATTTCTTCAGACTTATTGAATTGCCATCTATATAATTTAACATATGTGCTAGCAAGTTGATCTCAAGCTTTCTCATGATTTGTGGATTAAACCAATGAATGACGTTATGCTTGTAGAAATAATGTATCTTTCAATTCCATTGAGAATGAGCTGAACTTATTACTTCTAAAAAGACTAAGCAAGACTTTAGTGCTTGTGATGGCCAATGATGAAATCCATCAAAAAAATCCTTGAGGTATGAAATTGAAATCTCCACTATATGAGTAGTTGGAGGTGGTACATTACTTATAATTACGTATCTATGTAAAAAAAAGAATATGCATCAACACATGTAATAACTTGATACCAAACATGCAAAGACAAAATAAATAATACATAATGACAAAATTATTTGTGTTATTCATCTAATAAAAAGATCATATTCTTAGCTGGCAATTTAAGTAAATAAAATTATAAAAATAAATCAAATTTAAATTATTAAATCCAAAAGTGTCCGGGAAGCACACTCAAAAGATTAGAGATAGTGCAATAGAGAGTGGTAAGCATGTGTAGCCCCTTATTCATGATATTTATAGGAATAGACCACAATATTACAAAATTATAGATTAGTCTCTTTATCGTTAGCCTTGAAAGGGACCTTTTATTAATTACAAAAATATTTTAATATAATAAGAATGACAGATTGATTCAGTTGATAAGAGGTTTGTCGACCGCTTGCCCCACCTTGACTCCGTTGGTGCTTGATCTAAAGCCGAGAAATCTACCGATCGGCCTGAGAGCCAATCGTCGCCTTTGTGAGGAATCTCTTAGCACATTCTTCCAGTCACTCAATCTAGGCATCTTCTTCTCTTACATCTAATCCATCGTTCGTTAACAAGCATGTCTGATCGTTCTTCCCTTCCTCCCGAACCATTCATTTTTCTTGAGATTCATGCTGACGTATTTTTCATATACAAATTTAATTCTCTGATTTTCTTGCTGTTTGGAAGCTACAAAGCACACAAGGATAAGGGAATTTTTTTAACATATAATAAATAATTAAATGATATTATTGTGCAATAATGAATTTTTCTAGATTTATGTACCTTGATCGCTATAAATAAGTCATGAGATAGAGGGAATTTGTGCCTTCTCTTTTCCCTCTCACTCTTTGGAAACTTTTGTCTTCTCCTTTTCGTGCTTGATATTATGTATGGTGGAGAGGCTATGAGTGATATGCGGGCTAAGTTTCATAAAACAGACACGAAGCGGAAGCCGGCGAGCAAAATCCCTGCAAAGGAGTTGAAATAGAAGAGGGTTGTGGAGAAGCCACGAATTTAGGAGCACGAGGATCAAACAGAGTCTTCAGGTTTTCTCGCAGGCCCATTGTAGGAGAATATTGTGGAGGAGATTGGAGGGCTGTTTGTTGACCGCGACTTTATATATGCTTAAAAATATAAGATAAATATGGGCGTAATAAATATTCAATAATTGCAAATTCACATTTATCAACGCAAGTATATGTATCGCTCAAGTAATATAGGGCTCTAATGGAGTCCTAGATATCGATCCCAAAGTTCAATTTGCTTATCTGTCACTAATAGGCAATTGAAATAAATATGTAATTTTAATAACTATTAAATAAC